TTTCGTGGGTAAGAACCTCACTTCTTCAGATGCAAGTCAGGAAGTGAGGTTCTTACCCACGAAAGCTTATGCTCCCTATACTTCTGTTAGTCTCAAAGGTGCCACAGGACCCTCTGTTGCTTTTTACAGATTCAGACTAATACGGCTACCCCTCTGATCCTTCAAAATACATACTAAAACTAAGCTCCCTTTTCCCAGTCTTTGATGGCTATTCATGTTGAAGTCAGGGGTCCTGTGGGCAATTTTGAAAGAAAGATAGCACTTAACACTGGCTTCTCAGCCAAACTGATCTCAACAACAAAAACATCACACAGAATACGTTCTAATGTCCTCAATTGTGAGGGAGTCATAAATGAGCATATGTCCACTGCATTATCTATGTCTAACTCATTGGTAAGTCAGTCACTTTGGTGTATACCTTTAGAAAGTTGAAATCTACAGCCATTTAAAACTGAAAACAATCTTCAAGAATATGATGGTACCAGACTAGACCTTGAGTCTCAAACATATTGCTGTTGGTTCTTTTAAACTAGACACTTTCTATAAAATGCAGCAGGTTTGTAAAGAGGTCATCTTTTCTCCTAGTTGAGTACTAAATGCAGCCAACACACCTGTTTTCCCTTCCCCATCCCCACAGTTGGGCCTCTTTTCAATAAAAGCTTGAGAGTTTCCAGCATTTAGCTGCAGCATATCACACAAGATTGTTTGCAACCAGCTACTGTTTCCCCCAAGATTATTTCCAGCCATTCACAGCTTTGGTTGAATATTTGGCTGCAAAATTTCATATTTTCAGATTTCTGTCCAAAGATATTGGCACCATTCTAAATGGAAGGTTAAAACACAGGAACTAACAAGCTCTAAGAGGCCCTGGCTCTAATTTTACATGAAATAAGGCTGTTTTGCTTATTAATAATTTCTAAATCCATTTTCAAGGCTTTTAAAAATCTGAAGATTTAGTATCACTATCAAGCTAGACTATATGAGTGATACTCTCTGACACTTCACTTTAACTCTCTAAAAAAAGATAGAGCTTTCCCAATCTAAATAGTTTATCCAAATATTCAGCTGCTCCACTTTTTCCTCTCCCCTCTCACACCATAAAAAACAATTAATTTTTAGAAGTACAAAACTAATATGAAGAGATTTAGTGAAAAAAATCTGTATTAAAAATATTCTTAAGAGTTACATACACTGCACATTTTGCATATAACTGCAAAGAATCCCATGGATAGGGTGTATTTAAAAATTCACTATAAACTTAGCAAATATATTTTAAAAATGTAAATCCATGTAGGCTCATTTTCAAATTATTGGGAAAGACCTTTAAATAATTCAGACCAAGCTTCCAATTTCAAGTCAGCACGGTATTTTTGTTTTGTTTTAACCACTATGTAGATAATCTACTATTTAGTGTGGACAGTGAACCAGTCTGTTTCTGTTAAAAAAAGAATTCAGAAGTTAACGTATTTTGAACATCTACAACAGCATCTCTGTTTTAATATCATTAGGTATATGCCGTGGGCCTCTCCCAGTAGCAGCTATCCAGACTCCAACATTTACAGAAAGATTCTGCATCCCTTCTTCCGTGGAGAAAGCAGCTTGATTACAAGTACATCCTCAAAAAATTTACTGGCTCCCCACTTATTTCAGGATCCAATCTGACATTGACCTCCTCGTTTCTAAAATGCACTTGCTTCAGCTGATTTCATAAATTCTCTCTCTCAGTTCCTTGCTTACTTAGCAGTGGCCTATTCCTTTCGATTCCTGCATGCTCTTTGACCATTGTTACTATGAGAACTTTCTCCTCTGCAGTTCTTGCCATCTGCTACAATGTTCCTCTTTCTCTGCACTATTATAATTTAAATGTTGCTAATTAGTATTAAATAGTGAGGAGGGACAGGGTGGAGTGGAGTGGGGGATGGAGTGGGGAGGGGGGGAGAGAGAGAATGAACGAGTCTTTTTCCAAACTGGGGGTTTTCAGGGGGAGCGAGATGTGGGAGGGTGGGGAAGAAGCAGCAAAGAAAAATACCCTGTTTTGGAAAACTTGAATCTGTGTTTAAAAAAAACCCCAACTTTTTAGTCCCTGTACAGTCCTTCAGGTGAAAGAGACTAGATCTGGATAATACCAGTAGCCAGTCTCCAATCCACGCTATAAAATCTCATTTTATACAATTTAATAAAATAAGCTGCAGTATTGTACAGCGCACATACCATGAAACCTGCTAGGATGACATCTGCAGAGATATGTAATGCATGACATGTTAATTCAACATGTTGAAATGGTTTGCGGGTGGTTCCATTTGAGCTCAGCCTCAAGACTGATGGCTGTAAATTCCCATTTAAGTTTCAACAAGAATTGGAATATCAGATTTGTTTAAGAGTCCAAAATTATGATTTTCAACAAGTCATTTATTTTATACATCCTGATTGGCAGTGAAATATCAGACTACTGTCTGGGTACATTCTCAAATTAGCAGGAAAAGAGAAATCTTTCAAAGCCTAACCCCCTCAAGGAGAAGACTACACCTTCCTTCCCTCCCACACACTGGCACTTGCTGTTAAACACATTATAGATTCATCACTTGCCAAAATTCCATTTGTAAGATAAACACTGTTCAGATTTAAATAAAAAATTAAAAAAAGAACTTCCTGTATCTGATTAAAAAAAAACAAAAACCTGAATGAATTTTCCCCTAAGTACATTTTCATAGCCAAGTTATAAACTACATCTGACAGACAGCAAATCACAACACCTTGCACATTTTTGAATGGTTTTAAATATTCACTTCCCTAAAATAGCTAACAAGTAACACTGCATTTTCCAAAAATTAGAACTTCAATCTCTTGTCAACACAGCTGTTTGTTCCATAATGATTTTTTTTAAAATAAGTGTTTACTTATTTAAAGAGTTATAGTCCTCGCTAGGGCACTGTAATAAGTAAAATCTTTAAATATTTCATCTCTATTTTGGAATAAGTGAAATTCAGTCTTTTCAGAGTTAAAGGACTGGTAAAACAATCATTTCAATACAATTTTTGCTAGTAAAGACCATCTTTTCATATATCAGCAAGTTACTACCCGCTTTCTGTCGATTTAAAAGCAGAGACAAAACTGTGTGTTCTTTAAGTAAACAACTTGTATAAAATCTACTATCTAAGATTTCAAACTACTTCACAAATTCTGGATGCACTAGGAGTGTTTCCATAGTTAAGGAAGAGGTGAACTTTGCACTTAAAGCAGAGATTCAACTTTTTTGTAATGTATGAAGAATATATTGCATCCTTCCGAAGCACTTAGTCTGAGTTAAAAACTTCTGAGAATCTAAATGCGTCGAAGTACCCAAACAATCTTAACTCTACCTAGTAGTGACAGCATTAAAATATGAAAAAAATCAAATACATTTTAAAAGTCAGTTTCTTCTAATCTGAAACACCAGGCACAAAATATGTATCAATCATAATTGCATAGATATTGTTTTCCCATTCTTTAACAATGTTTGAATTTCTTTTAAATCTAACCTTAACTTCTAATTTCATGGGTTTATGTTTGTTTTGAGATTAATTAAATCCAGGAATTTTTAAAATTTTAAATTTACCGATAAGCACTTTCATCCTCAACTCCACATTAATAGTTTTTATCTGAGAATATTCACTGAATCTCAACACCCTTGTGAGGAAGTTAGGAGGGTATTGATCTGCTTTTTTCAGATTAAGGAAAATAACAGTTGTGTATGGCCAAATGACTTGAGGGGCCACATCTGCAGTCCTTAGTCAGAACTCTCAGCAATTTAAATGGGAGTTTTGCCTGATTAACAACTGCACACTGGACCCATAAAAAACAAGATTCTAATTGCACATACTGTACAGTCTCTAAACCGTGGTTCTCAACCTATTTACCACAGTAGGCCACATATGCCACTCACTATATGTTATGTGGGCCACATCCATACAATATATATAATACCTGTACGGCCCTGAGGCTGCAACTGTGTGCTGACTGGGCCGCAAGTGGCCTGCTGGCTGCAGATTGAGAACCACTGCTCTAAACCAAAACAAAATGGACCAACATCCTTTCCTGATATAAATCTATTGACTTTACACAAGTTACACTGGAATTATTTTGGCCCTATAAATCCAGTTGGAGGTCCTCAAACTACCTCAATTTCAAATTTATCAAAATTGTCAACTTCCACAATATTAACTGAAAACACAAAAATAACATGTGTGCCGTTTTAAGTAATTCACGTCTATATTTTAATTCAGCAAGTATAGCAAAAGTGTTGTGCTGTATAAGCTACAGTATAAAGGCAAAGTTTCCAATTACTTCTGCTCGTCACAGAAAGTCATCAATAACCCAGCCCTGCCTTTTGCTCACCTGTGTCTGACTTAAGTTTACTTGACAAAATGAAAAAATTACACAACTTCCTAAAGTAAAGTTCTCTGTAATCTCTACTTCTTCCTCATCCTCCCATTTTACGAGTCTCACCTGCGAATGCTTTTGGGGGTCTCTCCAATCAAGAAGGTGGTTGCACCTACTCTGTGTACCTTTTTTTTCTTCTGAATTGCAGGATGTTCAATACAAAGGTGAGACTGCTTACTGTTGTCACTTATTTGCTGTTCTCTCTTAATGTTCTTTTTTGCTGATATGGCTTCTTGGGTTTCCTTCTCTCTCTAACAAAAAGAGAAATAGAAAACATTATTTGTCCATATTTCATAGGGCTTTTTTTCCCCCAATATGTAGTAATTCTGTTCTGATCACTCTAATTTCACAATTAGCCATGGTCTAGCAGTTAGTATGCTAGCCTAGGACTCAGGAGACCCAACATCAATTCCCTGATGTGTCACAAACTTCCTGTGTGACTTTGAGCAAGTCACTGTGTCTCAGTTCCCCACCTGTAAAACTGGGATAATAGCACTTCCCTACCTCACAAGGGTGTAGTGAGGATAAATACATTGAATCTTTCACTAAATGCTAGTACAATGCCTGGCACAATGGGGCCCCAATCTCAGTTGGAACCTGCAACATAATACAAAGAACCTATTCACACATTAAAATTATTGTATTGACTCAAATACATCCTCATTTCTTCCTTGCTTCATTTAGCAAGATTACATGGGCCATCTAAATTTCCATTTAGTTTCTGTTTATTAATGGTTTTGTTACATGTATACTTGCCCTTTGCAGAATTTTCAGTTACTTAATACCCAAGTTTGATTTTCAATCAACGATATTTTCCTCAATCAATTTTTATTTGATGCATGTCCATTTCCTAATTTCCATGGGACTGTTTGCAATGTTCTTAGTCCCTAGGATCCCACATCTGTTCTCATTATATTACTTTGGAAAAATACAGACCCAACTTGCATGGATGGGGAGGCTCGGACAATGAAAATAAACAAATTAAGAGACCAAAGATTTAAACTTTTACTTTGGCAAGGTAAGTGCACAACTCCAATCATCCTCAATGCTGCAGTGAACTCTTACACAGACTACCAAAACTGAAGTTAAAAAAACCAAGGTCTTCAGTTCTCAAAAGGAATTTTATAATATTACTCAGCAAACAAATGAGTTATAAATAACACCTAATATATTCTAAATATTTTAAAAATCTTACTGTGCGTATATTTTTAAATATTTACATATTGTATAATTATTGTTTGAATACAAATTGATATAGAATTTTAATTTAAAATGTGTAATACATTTTAATAAAAAGCCTAAAGGTTGGCTTCAAAATAATTTATTTTGATGCGTCAGATATTTAAATGCAAAATATTTACAGTAGAAAGAATGCTCTCAGAAAATGTCTAGTATTAATCTTTCTTCCTCAGGGAATCAGGAGTTATATTAAAATTATATAATTTAATTAATGTAAACAAACATAGCTGGTGTACAGTACTAGTCTAGTCATGTCAATGTCTTCCTTAAAAGTATTTTATAACTCCCTAATTTTTCATCCATTTATTTCCTTTCATTAGAGAACATGGAATAGATGAGGCAGCAATGCTTTGGTCTACACATCTGTTCAAACACAAAAGATTAAAAATCTCTCTCTTTGGGAAAAAGCCAAATCTTGTAAACACACAAAGTCATAAACTTGCTAGTCTTTGCAAAGAACCAGAATTACTGTAAAAACATACTGCTTACTGTAAATAAACTCTCACAAATGGCATTTGTAATTCTAAAAGGACAAAAACTTTTAAATGTGTTTATAAAAGTATGTGAAACTCTTATCCTGCCCAAATTAACTGGTCATGGTTTCTGCATGGAGGTAGAAAAAGTTACTGTAAACACCGTTTCCCAAGAGCTAATGCTAGTGGAAGCCTAAAGCAACTATGAATTACCTTTGAATGTCTTAATTTAGTCTTCTGGACAAAAGCCAACTGGTAAAATGGACCCACCAACAACTTATGATGTAGAACGACTGGCATTATTTGAATGTGTGAAAATGTTCATAATTTTATCAAATTCAAATCCAAGTCTAAACCCAAATAACACTTTTCAAAAATGACAAACATGAACTTTTAGGCAAGAATAGAGCGTTATAGTGTAGCTTTGGTTAAGAAACCTTCAAACTCTCTCTGGGCCTTATCCAAAGACAATTGACTTCAATTATAGCTGGGATAAGGCCTAAATGCAGCAGTATATTTTGCATGTAGGTAAGTGAATCATTTGACACAATTTGAAAAATTCTTTTGTTGTCTGTTTACTTTCAAATATCAATTTTTCATATTATAATTACGGTTAAAATAACCAAAAACTTCACAGGAATATTTTGGCTGCTTCTTTCTTGTTTTGTTTGTGCTTTGAATTGGATTTCTATGTATTACTCTCATCAAGCCTACTCTCATTTCCTCCTTTTCACTCTCACGTTGCTGATGTTCTTTCCAGTCCTCACTCTTCATGGCTGCTTGGCTTCTTCTCTTACCCTCTGCTTCAAGCCTATTTCATGCCAGCAACTTCCTTTCAACAGCTGCCATTTTCTTGTTCCTCAAGGGCCTTTCCGCTCCACCTTCAAACCCACATCATTTGTTATAAGCCCTCTAGCACCAAATTCCATGCTGACATTACACCATTGGCCTATTTCATTTGTATTATCTCATTTCATTTGTATACATCTGAATTAGGCACCATTCCTGCAAAGACTGATTGAACTGCATGGGACTGGATACAATCATATCCTTTTATAGGATTGGACCTTAAGATTGCAAACTCCTTGGTACAGAGACCATCATGTTTGTAAAATGCCATGCTCACTTACAAGTACTCCACAGAATATTCTGACTTTGGAATAAGATTTATGTCTTTAAAAAAAAACGTTAAAAAAATCAGTATGAGGACCAAAAAATGCTGCCATGGCTAAACAGCGTAAAAGAAGCAGTTAGAAATAAAAAGACATGCTTTAAAAATTGGAAGTCAAATCATAGTGAGGAAAATAGAAAGGAGCATAAACTCTGGCAAGTCAGATGTCAAAGTATAATTAGGCAGGCCAAAACATCTGAAGAGCAAGTAGCAAAATAAAAAACTAAGGCTTGGTCTACACTAAACCCCCAAATCGAACTAAGGTCCGCAACTTCAGCTACGTGAATAACGTAGCTGAAGTTG